TTTCACACTCCACTGACATGGTAACCCCACAGCTCACCAGCTTAACTGCTCCAAGTTTAATGTTAGCACCTATTAAAAGCAGTCAGATAAAAGCTTTAATGTAACTGAACAACAGCAATATAATATGTAACAGAAAGGTAGAGAGAAAAAGTTTGCTTCCTACTCTGCATATGTAACTGGTGGCAGGGGGCAGGGAGAAAAGAAAAAGACTCCCTCCTAAAACTTCCCTCATTGCACATCTGGAGGTTGGTCTGTTTCTACAGTTATTGGAAATTAGTTCCTCTCCTGGGTCTATTCTGGGTTTAACTGACATCCTATAGTTGACAATAAAGGATCTCAAATAGACAAGGCTTTGGGGGCTTTACCTCAACCTTGACATGCATTAAACCTGATTTTTTTTTCCTCTTTAAAATTCACAGAGAAAAGCTAATAAACCACTGAGTAAATTTTGAAAGTAGAGGCCACCGGACTTAATCTCAGCTAAGTGTCACATATATTATCTCATTTGATCCCAACTACAATACTAAGAGGTAGCTATTATTATCGCAACTTTACAGATGAGAAATCTGAAACTTAAGTTACTAAAGATCACACAGTTTCCAAGTGTTGAATAGGACTTCAAAGTCTCTGTACATAACTACTACACTAGACTAGAACACGTGCCTTCTAAAAATTGTGTTGGGGTAAAAATGCATAGCACAGAATAGTTTAATTTTTAAAATACCAAATCATAATAACAACAAAAATGAATTAATTGTAAATGAGGTAGGGTCTGTCTGTTAGAGACATAGTTACAGCTCTTTATCTATTGCCTTCCTCCTTGGAGCTATACCAGCAAGTGTGAAATGTGTCTGGTGAAAAACTGAAAAACCAAAAGCAAGTTTCAGGCAAAGAAGGCATTAGCAACTTAATAAATTTAAGAGTTTCTCTTCTATGCAGTTTCAAAGTTTACTAATTGGAGTTTCAAGAATAACAAATAATTACAATACAGTAACTTCTTCAAAACAATGTTACTTTAAGGAACAGAATGCCTGTATACAGGGCTACAGAAGGCTTTCAAAAAAGAATCATCTGCTAAAGGGACATGGCTCAGGTATTTAAACAATTTTTATCTAGTATTCTTATGATACAAAGAGAAAGATAATTGTTAAAGATGGGTAAAAACCAGCCGGGCGCGGTGGCTCAAGCCTGTAATCCCAGCACTTTGGGAGGCCGAGGCGGGTGGATCACGAGGTCAAGAGATCGAGACCATCCTGGTCAACACGGTGAAACCCCGTCTCTGCTAAAGCTACAAAAAATTAGCTGGGCATGGTGGCGCGTGCCTGTAATCCCAGCTGCTCAGGAGGCTGAGGCAGGAGAATTGCCTGAACCCAGGAGGCGGAGGTTGCGGTGAGCCGAGATTGCGCCAATGCACTCCAGCCTGGGTAACAAGAGCGAAACTCCGTCTCAAAAAAAATAAAATAAAAAATAAAAAAAAAAGATGGGTAAAAACCAACAATAGGCAATGGCAATTTTTTTTTTAACCATCAAAAAATACTTATTAAGTGCACATATTGTATTGACATCACTGCTGGGGTAGTAGAAATTATAAGGTAGAACTACAAGTAACAATATGGTTTAAAACACATGAGTTAAAAATGAAGCTTCCCCTTAAGATGTCTCTACTTAATTGGAAAGATTTTTTTTAATGTTGTTTTAAGGGAATATATGTCTCTAACTGCCAAATAAAGAGAAAAGCAGTAAATAATAGAAAGCAGAGGAGAAAAATATCACTAACGGCTTGGAATGGGTGAGGAAAATGTCATAAAGTGGGTGGAACTGAGGGTAGGCCTTTAGAACCAGATACTCAAACATAGAATTGACGGGAGACATTACAAGTGGAAAGAACAGACTCAACATGTGAAGAGGCAAAAAGTCAGAAAGTGTTATTTTGGAGAGTTACAGAAACTAGTTGTCTTAGTTCAGGCTGCTATAACAAAGTACCACAGACTGGGTGGCTTAAGCACAACAAAAATTTCTCATAATTCTGATAGCTAGAAGTCCAAGGTCAGGGTGCCAGCATGGCCTGGTTCTGGAGCAGGCCCTCTTCTAGGTTGCAGTAGGTTGAGAATAGATGTGTATATGTATATGTATATGCATATATATATGTACATGTATATGTATATGCATATGCATATGCATATGTTATCTCATATAGCAGAAAGAGAGCAAGCTAGCTCCCTGGCTGCTGCTTGTTTTTTGTTTGTTTGTTTTGTTTTTTTGAGATGGAGTTTTTGCTCTTATTGCCCAGACTGGAGTGCAATGGTGTACTCTTAGCTCACCGCAACCTCTGCCTCCTGGGTTCAAGTGATTCTCCTGCCTCAGCCTCCCAAGCAGCTGGGATTACAGACATGCGCCACCATGCTGGATAACTTTTTGTATTTAGTAGGGACAGGGTTTCACCACATTGGTCAGGCTGGTTTCCAACTCCTGACCTCAGGTGAGCCACCCGCCTCGGCCTCCCAAAGTGCTGGAATTACAGGGGTGAGTCACCATACCTGGCCCCTGGCTTCTTCTTACAAGGGTAGTCATCTCATTCATGAGGGCTCCACCCTGATGACTAAATTACATCTGGAAGGCCCCACCTCCAAATACCATCACACTGGGGACTAGATTTCAACATATGAGTTTAGGGAGAACACAAACATTCAGTCCCCAGTACTAGTCTGGGCTATAGCCAAAGGTTCATTGTAGCAAAGCTATTTACTTTGTATAACTATTTTCATACTGAAAGAAAGAATTGAACCATAACTTGCCCACATTAAATTCTACTCCACAACCCAAATAATATCCGTAAATTCCTGCCTTCATGTCTGACAATGTTTGCTGTAGAAACAGTAACAGCTGATAGTATATGTATCAAATCAATCAAATAAACAACAAGATACACATTCATCTGAGATGAATGGCATAGCCATTGTGGATCTAGATATGGTAACTGGCCTTACTACTACAATAATTCTTGGAAAAGATAGGCCGTATCCCCATTACCCATACCTTTCCAGTTTCATTTCCTGGTATGACGTGATATTTCTAGTCTCCTCAGAAGTTTTAATTCCATCCAACCCATGCTTTCATCAATAGAATATATAAACTTACAGGGTTTCTTGTTATTTGTATTTTTGAAAAAGTCTCACTCTGGCACCCAGGCTGGAGCGCACTGGTGCAATCACAGCTCACTGCAACCTCTGCCTCCCTGGCTCAAGCTATTCTCATGCCTCAGCCTCCCAAATAGCTGGGATTACAGGCATACCCCACCATGGCCAGCTAATTTTTTGTATTTATAGTAGAGATGGGGTTTCCCTGTGTTGGCCAGGCTGGTCTTGAACTCCGGGTCTCAAGTCATCTGCCCACCTGGGCCTCCCAAAGTGCTGGGATTACAGGGGTGAGCTGCCACACCCAGCCAAACTTACAGTTTAGACAGAATGAATAACACCTTAAAAGGAAAGGTGAAATACAGTATTTCCACCCCACCCTCTAGCTATTTGTTTCAGAGCTGTATTAGCAGAACCCAACAACTAAAACACCTTCCATTCAAACTGCCCACAAAACTTAGAAGCTGCTCTGCTCGTCTCACTTCTTCCCCTCCCCATCTTCTCTGTAACTTACACACAACCACCTCACTCTGCTGTCCACTTTCCCCTACTGCTGCCCAACAATTCACAGGCTGTCACAGATTGTCAGCACTGCGTTTGGGGACTTGAGAAGTACTCTTGTGGGACAGCACGGTGTGTTAGTACAGCATTTTCCCAGATACAATGTCACTCTTTATAGCCAGCTGCAAATTAGTTTCTTCTTAAAAAAAAAAATAATACTCCTAATAAGACAGGTACAAGGAGATTTCAAATAACCAAGATTAAAACTCATTTTGATTTGCTCTGAGACCAAGGCCTTTTCAGTCATGCACAATGAAATCCTACGCTTCTACTCACATGAGCTATGCAAAACATCTAGAAATACCTAAGACTGTTTTCTGATGCTAACAAAAGCAAAAAGACTAAGAAAAAACCCAATCTAAGGATAATCTTGTTCGTCTCTTTTTTCTGTGCCTAGAGTTCCTCATCCCTGGATTCTATTTGAGACTACGTAGTTTAAACTCAGCTCTCAACATCAACATTTATTTCTCACTGTGTTTAGCTGTGCAAAACCATTTAAGAGAAAATTCGGCAAATCACCAGTATTGTGTCATAATTTCCATCCAAGTTTTGCAATGTGCGTCAGCAGCACATGAGTATATTTATCTTCTGACAATTGCTGTGACCAACCCTCTGGTTACCATTAAAGCTATCACCCTACGCATTGGCTGGCCCATTGTCACTGGCTACACAGGAGAGTCAGAAGCTGAAATGTACTCAAAAGATCATCAGAGGATGTGAGTAAGAAAACCTCACAAAACAGTAGGTTTTATCAACCTACTAAATCTTCCTTGAAAAAAAAATTTTAACTGACAATAAATACTTATAGGGTAATATTTAAACATTAAAACCAGTTACCTTTTTTCATTTCTAAGTTATTTAACAACACTTTTCATTCTGTTTTATAATACTTCACTATTTAAATGACCACCTATTCTTCCTGAATCAGTTAATCAAACCCTTGAGATAACACTTCATCTCTGCTGCTTACTATATAACTAGGGAAGCCAGAGCTTAAGAAGGATGTTAACTCTCACTGTTACAGTGGAAAGAGACAGGGCAAAGCTAGTACTCCAACTTTGAAAACTAATCCCAATATTTAAACAGCACCTGTTCTCTCTACTACAAACAATAAAATTAAAACAGACAGTAAACAGAAGTAAGAAAATCTTCAAAAGACCCTACATCTTTCAGGAAACTGCCATTTTCAAACTCGTTTTACATGACAGTTACAAAATAAAATGACACTGTAAAAACAAAATACAAGCAAACAAATCTTTAAACAGACAATATTTCTATAAAATATGCATAATAAAGGCAACTTACCATATAAGTGACATTTTATTTTCTTAATAACAAAACTCTACAACATGCAGATACACTGTGTCTGAAGGCAAATTGTACAAAAGTTCCTTTCTAACCGACAGCAGCCTCACCTAAAAAACAGTAATAATAAAAGTTATTTTTATACAGTTATTTCTTTGACACCTGTCTAGGCACTTAACTTTCATTATTTCACTTGGTAAATACTAAGAGTTTAACACAGTGATTTGCCACAGAATGTGCAATGAAGACACACATATAAAAACACTTTTAGAAGCTCATCAACCAAACAGAATAAGGAAAAGGAATCTTCTGTCATTCTTAGACCTGTGGATAGGAAAGTATAACTGTCAACAACAACAAAAAAGGCACAAAATAACAAAAATCACAAAAAGAGACCAGGCATGGTGGCTCACGCCTATAATCCAGCACTTTGGGAAGCCAAGACAGACAGACCACTGGAGCTCAGGTTTTCGACACCAACCTGGACAACATGGCAAAACCCCATCTCTACAAAAAAATACAAAAATCAGCTAAGCATGGTAGCATGCAATTGTACTCCCAGCTATTCAAGAGGCTGAGTTGGAAGCATCACTTGAGCCCAGAAGGTCAAGGCTGCAGTGAGCTGTGATCGCACCACTGCACTCCAAACTGGGTGACACAATGAGATCCTATCTCAAACATGCACACACACACAGATATAGAGACAAACATATACAGATGTTCAACTTATAATCATTACTACAGTTTTACCGCATGGGATAGGTTACAGAACATGATGGATACTCAGTAAGTATATGCTGGCTGGCTGACAGGCTAGCCGAATGGTGGATGGATTAAAAAATAAAACCTCATCAGTTAGCAAAGAAATGCAATCTAAACATACTTTGTTTTGCTATAAAAATGGCAAATATTAAAAAAAAAAAAAAGCTCTATTTTGCTGAAAATCAACAGATAGGGCTCAAACACACTGGCAGTGGAGGTACACATTTTACTAATACGGAAAGCTGTGAACACTATGTTTCAGAAACTTGGGTGTGTCAAAAGCCTTTGACAAGGCAATTCTCCTTTGATTAATTTATCATAAGGAATAACTGGACTTCTACAAGGATACTTACTTATTCCAGAACTGTTTATAGCAGTAAAAAAAAAATTTTTTTTTTAATCATATTTGGGCTCTGGGTACATGTGCATGTCTTGCATCCTGCAGGATTGTTGCATAGGCACATACATGCCATGGTGGTTTGCTGTCTCCATTGCCCCACCCCCATTGCCTGCGTCAAGCATTTCTCCCTGTGTTATCCCCTCCTATCCTCCCTGCCCACACACCCCCCCGCTGACCCTCCCTTCCCTTCCACATCCCCCCACCTAGCCCCGTGAGTGTTGTTCCCTTCCCTGTGCCCAAGTATTCTCATTGTTCATCACTCGCCTATGAGCGAAAACGTGGTGTTTGGTTTTCTGTTGTCAGTTTGCTGAGAATGATGGTTTCTAGATTCATCCATGTCTCTACAAAGGACACAAACTCATCGTTTTTTAAGGCTGCATGGTATTCCACGGCGTGTATGTGCCACATTTTTTTGGTCCAGTCTATCATGAATGGGCATTTGGTTGGTTCCAGGTCTTTGCTATCGTAAACACTGCCGCAATAAACATACATGTACATGTGTCTTTATGACAGAACAATTTATAATCTTTTGGGTATACACCCAGTAATGGATTGCTACACTGTCTTCCACAATGGTTGAACTAATTTACACTCCCACCAACAGTGTAAAAGTGTTCCTTTTTCTCCACATCCTCTCCAGCATCTGTTGTCTCCAGATTTTTTAACGATCACCATTCTAAGTGAGATGGTATCTCAATGTGGTTTTGATTTGTATTTCTCTAATGACCAGTGATGATGAGATTTTTTTCATATGTTTTTCACCACAGATTTGTCTTCTTTTGAAAAATGTCTCTTCATATCCTTCACCCTCTTTTGGATGGGTTTTTTTTTCCTGTAAACCTGCTTTAGCTCTTTGCAGATTCTGGATACTTTGTCTGATGGGTAGAATATGAAAATTCTTTCCCATTCTGTTGGTTGCCTGTTTAGTCTAATGATTGTTTCTTTTGCTGTGCAGAAGCTCTTAAGTTTAATTAGGTCCCATTTGTCTATTTTGGCTTTTGTTGCCATTGCTTTTGATGTTTTAGTCATGAAGTCCTTGCCTGTGCCTATGTCCTCAATGGTGTGCCTAGGTTTTCTTCTAGGGTTTTTATACTGTTAGTTCTTATGTTTAAATCTTTAATCCATCTGGAGTTAATTTTTGTATAAGGTATAAGGAAGGGGTCCAGTTTCAGTTTCCTGCACATGGCTAGCCAGTTTTCCCAACATCATTTATTAATCAGGGAATCCTTTCCCCATTGCAGGTTTGTCAAGATCAGATGGTTGTGGATCTGTGGCGTTGCCTCCGAGGCCTCTGTTCTGTTCCATTGGTCGATATCTCGGTTTTGGTACCAGTACCACACACGCTGTTCTGATTACTGTAGCCTTATGGTATAGTTTGAAGTCCAGAAGTGTGATGCCTCCAGCTTTGTTCTTTTTGCGTACAATTGTCTTGGCTATGTGGGCTCTCTTTTTGGTTCCATATGAAGTTTAAAGTGGTTTTTTCCGGTTCTGTGAAGGAGGTCACTGGTAGCTTCATGGGGATAGCACTGAATCTATAAATTACTTTGGGCAGTATGGCCATTTTCACAATATTGGTTCTTCCTAACCATGAGCATGGAATGTTTTTCCATCTGTTTGTGTCCTCTCTTATTTCCTTGATCAGTGGTTTGTAGTTCTCCTTAAAGAGCTCTTTTACTTCCTTTCTTAGTTGTATTCCTAGGTATTTTATTCTCTTTGTAGTAATTGTAAATGGGAGTTCGCTCATGATTTGGCTCTCTGTCTCTTATTGGTGTATAGGAATGCTTGTGGTTTCTGCACATTGATTTTGTATCCTGAGACTTTGCCAAAGTTGCTTATCAGCTTAAGGAAGTTTTGGGCTGAGATGATGGGGTCTTCTAAATATACAATCATATAATCTGCAAATAGGAACAATTTGACTTCGTCTTTTCCTAATTGAATGCCCTTTGTTTCTTTTTCTTGCCTAATTGCTCTGGCTAGAACATCCAATACTATATTGAATAGGAGTGGTGAGAGAGGGCATCCTTGTCTAGTGCCAGTTTTTAAAGAAAATGCTTCTAATTTTTGCCCATTCAGTATGATACTGGCTGTGGGTTTGCTGTAAATAGCTTTTATTGTTTTCAGATATGTTCCGTCGACACCTAGTTTATTGACAGTTTTTAGCATAAAGGCTGTTGAATTTTGTTGAAGGCCTTCTCTGCATCTATTGAGATAATTATGTGGTTTTTGTCTTTGGTTCTGCTTATGTGATGAATTACGTTTATAGATTTGCCTATGTTGAACCAGCCTTGCGTTCCCCATTTGAAGCCTACTTGATCGTGGTGGATAAGCTTTTTGAAGTGCTGTTGGATTTGGTTTGCCAGTATTTTGTTTTTTTTTTTTGCATTAATGTTGATCATGGATATTGGCCTGTAGTTTTCTTTTTCAGTTGTGTCTCTGCCAGATTTTGTTACCAGGATGATGTTGGTCTCATAGAAACAGATAAGGAGGATTCCCTCTTTGTGTATTGTTTGGAATAGTTTCAACAGGAATGGTACCAGCTCCTCTTTGTATGTCTCATATAATTCAGCTGTGAACCCAACTGGACCTGGACTTTTTTTCATCAGTAGGCTATTAATTGCTTCCTAGACTTCAGACCTTGTTAACTGGTCTATTCAGGGCTTCAACTTCTTCTTGGCTTAGTCTTGGGAGTGTACAAGTGTCCAGGAATTTATCCATTTCTTCCAGACTTACTGCTTTATTTGCATAGAGTTGTTTGTAGTCATCTCTGATGGTGGTTTGTATTTCCGAGGAATCGGTGGTGATCTCCCCTTTATCATTTTTTATTGCATCTTTTCGATTCTTCTCTCTTTTCTTTTTTATTAGTCTAGCTAGCAATCTATTGTGTTGATCTTTCCAAAAACCAGCTCCTGGATATATTGATTTTTTTGAAGGTTTTTTGTGTCTCTATCTCTTTCATGTCTGCTCTGATCTTAGTTATTTCTTGTCTTCTGCTAGGTTTTGAGTTTTTTTGATCTTGCTCCTCTAGCTCTTTCAATTTTGACAACAGGGTGCTGATTTTGGATCTTGTTTCTCATGTGGGCATTTATTGCTATAAATTTCCCTCTAGACACTGCTTTAAATGTGTCCCATAGGATCTGGTATGTTGTGTCTTCATTCTCTTTGGTTTCAAAGAACATTTTTATTTCTGCCTTCATTTCATTGTTTATCCTTTCGTCATTCAGGAGCAAGTTGTTCAGTTTCCATGTGATTGTGCGGTTTTGAGTGCTTTTCTTAATCCTGAGTTCTAATTTGATTGCGCTGTTGTCTGAGAGACTGTTTGTTATGATTTCCGTTCTTTTGCATTTGCTGAGGAGTGATTTACTTCCAATTATGTGGTCAATTCTAGAGTAAGTGCAATGTGGTGCTGAAAAGAATGTGTACTCTGTGGATTTGGGGTGGAGTGTCCTGTAAATGTCTATTAGGTCCACTTGGTACAAACTTGTGTTCAAGTCCTGGATATCCTTGTTGACTTTTTGTCTGGTTGATCTGTCCAATATTGTCAGTGGAGTGTTAAAGTCTCCCACTATTACTGTGCAGGAGTCTGTCTCTTTGTAGGTCATGAAGAACTTGCTTTATGTATCTGGGTGCTCCTGCATTGGGTGCATATATATTTAGGATAGTTAGCTCTTCTTGTTGCATTGATTCTTTTACCAGGTAATGCCCTCCTTTGTCTCTTTTGATCTTTGCTGGTTTAAAGTCCGTTTTATCAGAGACTAGGATTGCTACCCCGGGTTTTTTTTGTTTGTTTTGTTTTGTTTTGCTCTCCACTAGCTTAGTAAATCTTCTTCCATCCCTTTGAGTCTATGTGAGTCTTTGCATGTGAGATGGGTCTCCTGAATACAGCACACCGATGGTTCTTGACTTTTTATCCAGTTCGCCAGTCTGTGTCTTTTGAATGGGGCATTTAGGCAATTTACATTCAACGTTAATATTGTTACGTTTGAATTTGATCCTTCCATTTTCTTTTTTTTTTTTGCACCATAATTTGTGAGTTTATTTCTTCCAACTAAGAAACAGAGGCAAGAAAGAGGGAGTACCCCCAAGTGAAGGGCTCTAGGATTCAGGGACCACCAGCCAGCTCAAGTTGGATTTCAGCAGTTGGGGCTGCCTGGGGCGTGCGAAGCTGCTGTGTGAGCAAAACGCTGCCGTGAAGACATTCCAGGCGGCTTCCAGGAAGCGGCTGTATGTGCTGACACGCATGTGGACAGGCAGTCTGGCTGGCCACCTCTCAAGACTGGTGTTTCCTAGAGCTTTCCATTGGCAAACACTGCCTCCTGGAACTGAGGGACAAAGGTTTTGAAATAAGCCTTTGCTCTTTTGGCCATTTCATTTCCATCCCATCTGGGGCTGTACGGATAATTTTTTTGGGCCTGGGAGTAAAGCTGTCCACTGTTGGTAAAGTGATAGACAGACTGAAATGTGAGCGTTGGCTGGTCTCGAGGAAAAAACAGAGGCAGGTCAATGTGTACAAGAAAACAAAAATCTTTCCACATCAGCAGCAGAGTGAGTTTTGTAAAGCCTTCTGCATCATATTCCACGACACCTGTGCCAAAGTGACTGAGGAAAGCAGCAATATACTCTCTTCTTTTGTGATATCCTTGAATCACGTACTGCACCTTGTTGGTGAGCAGGTGGCATACTTGAGGAACGTAATCAATGAGACATCCTCCTCCTGGAAAGGCTGGGATATGAAGAGCTGAGGAGCCTCCAAGTGCATGCTCAATTCAAGGTGACAAGTACAGCTTGGGGTATACCTGGGTGGCTTCAGTGTCCTCGAAACTAACAGAGAGGAGGGCCACATCTTCGCCAGGGTCTTCATTTACATCCTTGAGGAGATATGTGGGGATATTGCTGAAATCCACTGGCAACTTCAAAAGAAAACGAGCTGAAAATTCACCAGTCCAGTTGTTTTTTTTCCCAGCATAAATTTCCATGTTCTCTCCATATTGTGGCTCTTCCAGTAATGTCTGGTATTCAAACATGAGGCGGGAGCTCTCCCGGAGGCGGCTACATTGGAACTGGTGATACTGTTGCACAAGTTCCTTCACCACAAGTAAGAGACATTCAGGATTTGAAGGATTCCAGGAGGCAAGATTCTGCAAAGCTGAGGGGTCTGGCAGGAATTCAGCATCCTCTCCAAAGATAAAATCAGGAGGCAACTCTGGGTATTGGGCATTGAAAATGATATCCCATTTTAATGTCTCTCCAGCATATGGTATGTGCAATTTAAATCGGTCACAGTTGGGCCCAGGAGTCAATGATGTGCAGCCAGATTTCAAGTCAGTTATCCTCAAACAGTTTGTAGCATCCAGTCCCACTTTTCCATTCCGGACCACGCTAGATATGAAAGGGGAGAGCATTGGAGAAATTCGGTTCAAGGCCACTTCTGGGGACATTTTAACTTGACTTGTAAATTACCACTGGAATTTAGTCCGATCGGTAACCAGCGACTACGTGGGGTACAGGTACCCGAGCGCGCCCCCGACCCGATCCTTCCATTTTCTTACTGGCTTGTTGTTTTGCCCGTTAGTTGATGTGGCTCCTTCATTGCGTCATTGTTCTTTACCATTTGGTGCATTTTTGTAGGGGCTGGTACTGGTTGTTCTGTTCCCTGCTTAGTACTTCCTTCAGTAGCTCTTGTAAGGCAGGTCTTATAGCGACAAAATCTCTCAGCAATTGTGTAAGGCCAGCTGCCTCACAGAGGGTTAAACAGATACATCCATCTCTCTCCGCACCTAATAACTGCATCATCACCCAAGCTCATTATCTAGCCTTGCCGCACAGCTTCCCCGCACCCGCCTCCGCATACCAGACCCAAGCCCACATTCAGCACTAAATTATGCATTCAACCCCCAACCTGCTGTTAATAAACACTACAAGAAAATTTTTTTTAAAAAAGCCCCATCAGACCCTGCCCGGTAGCAGTCTGCTCTGCATGCCCCCGGAAGGCCCGCTTACCCAAGGTCCCGCCTGTCTACCCATAACCACCAGCTCCAAGCATTTTCTGCTTCTTAATAGCCAATAGGATTGCCTTCACTTTGTTTCCCCAACAGCCAATCAAAACCCACTTACCCAAAGTCCCACCTGCCTACCAATAGCAACTAGTTTCAAGCACTTCCTGCTTCCTAACAGCCAATAAAATTGCCTTTGCTTTGTTTCCCCAATAGCCAATCAATTGCCTTCCCTTCCCATAAAACTCCATGACCTAAACAGCCATGCGTGACTTCTTTAGCCCCTTCCTAGACCACAGAACCTCACCTGGAAGCTGAATAAATTGGCTTCTCATTTTCTTATACTTGCCTCAGTTTCCTCATTTTACATCAGCAAGAAACCTTACAAATTGCTTGTCCATAAAGGATTTTATTTCTCCTTCACTTATAAAGCTTAGTTTGGCCAGATATGAAATTCTGGGTTGAAATTTCTTTTCTTTAAGAATGTTGAATATGGGCCCCCACTCCCTTCTAGCTTGCAGAGTTTCTGCTGAGAGGTCCGCTGTGAGTCTGATGATCTTTCCTTTGTGGATAACTCAACCTTTCTCTCTGGCTGCTCTTAGGATTTTTTCCTTCATTTCAACCCTGGTGAATCTGACAACTATGTGCCTTGGGGTTGCTCTTCTTGAGGAGTATCTTTGTGGTGTTCTCTGTATTTCCTGGATTTGAACGTTGGCCTGCCTTTTTAGGTTGGGAAAGTTGTCTTGGATAATATCTTGAAGAGTGTTTTCCAACCTGGATTCATTCTCCCCTTCACATTCAGGTATGGCAATCAAACATAGATTAGGTTTTTTCACATAATCCCATAGTTCTTGGAGACTTTGTTCATTTCTTTTCACTCTTTTTTCTCTTTTCTTATTTTCTCGTTTTATTTCATTGATCTGATCTTCTATCTCTGATATCCTTTCTTCTGCTTGATCAATTCGGCTGTTGAAACTTGTGTATGCCTTGCAAAGTTCTCATGCTGTGTTTCTCAGCTCCATCAAGTTGTTTATGTTCTTCTCTAAGCTGGTTATTCTAGTTAGCATTTCGTCTAACATTTTTTCAATGTTCTTAGTTTCTTTGCATTGGCTTAGAACATGGTCTTTTACCCCAGAGAAGTTTATTATTAACCACCTTCTGAAGCCTGCTTCTGTCAATTCATCAGATTCATTCTGTCTTTTCTTGTTCCGTTGATGCTGAGGAGTTGTGATCCCCTGGGAGAAGAGGTGTTCTGTTCTTTGATGGTTTCATCCTTTTTTGTGCTGGTTTTTTCTCATCTTCATGGATTTATTGCCCTTTAATCTTTGAAGTTGGTAATTTCAGGAGGAGTCTCTGAGTGGACTTTTTTTCTATTGAAGTGGGAGCTGTATCTCTTTTAGCTTGTAGAAGGGCACTGCTGGGCTCTCTAGGATTCAGGCAGGTTGCTGGGTGGGTGGTCCTTCCCTGGAGTTTGTTTGCAGGTGAGATTGGCCCCACCTTCCCAATAGTGTCTCTCCCAGAGCTGGAGCTTCCTGGTTGGGGTCAAGCTGGTATATTTGCTGCCAAGCTCTCTAGTGAGGGCTTCAGTTTGACTTCTGTGGAGGTGTGGTCTGCCAGTCCTTATGGTCTGTTTCCCTGCTTTCAACTCTGCCTCCCTCTGTGGGACAGTCTGTCTCACTGGCATTAGTCCAAACTCCCACCCAGGTCCCTGCAACTACTTGCCACTGGCAGTAACCACTGCTCAGATTTGCATCAACTACCCATAGCACCCCACCGTCTGGCAGGGCTCTTGTGGGCCATGGGTTGCAAGAGGGATAAGGTAAGCACAGAATCCGAATTAGAGCACCAAGTGGGTTAAGTCCCCTGACCCTCTGAGCAGGCTGCACATTTCAGGTGGGAATGGGCCCCCCTCCCCCATCCCATCTTGATTTGGCCCCCTGGGCAGCTCTCGCCCTTCGGCTCCTTTCCTGGGCCTATTTTCAGAGCCCTATCAGTCCCAGAGAAATGAACCCGGCACCTCGTTTGGAATCGTGAAGTCCTCTAGCCCTCTGCATCTCATTCACTGGGAGCTGCATTCCAGTGCTGGCTTCTCTTGGCCATCTTGGCACCTTACCCGTAGTAATAAATTTTAAACAATTTTAATGTCCATCCGCATCAGCCAGGTTATATAAATTATGGTACATCCACACTGTAGACATACAAAGAAAGATCTACAAAACATATTATTGAGCTGGAAAAAAAAAAATGGAGACTTTATCAAGGAGTTAAATATGAAGAAAACTTTAAAACATTCCTGAAAGACACAAAAGTAGATCTGACAAATGGAAAGATATTCTTTGTTCTTGGACAGAAATCTCAGCACAAACCAACAGCATTAAAATGTCAGTTTTCCATATGTTAATTTATAAACTTAACATAAACCCAATAAAAATACACAGAAGCTTTTTTATTAAGACAGACAAGCTGATACTAAAGTTCAACAGAAAAATAAATATGCAAGAATTGTCAAGAAAACATTAAAAATAATAAAAGATAGCCCTTGACATACTATCAAGCCTCTGTAATTGAAACTGTGTGATAATGGTACAGAAAGTCTAGAAATAAACCAAATGAAAATTTCATATATGATAAAGATAGAGTATCAAAGAACTCACTGGGGCATAAGAGAAACAAATATTAAAACTATACTGAGATACTGTTTCTTATCTATCAAGTTGGCAAAAATTAAAAAGTATGCCAACACACTCTGATGAAGAGGTTGTGGGGAAACTGACCCTCTCATACACTGCTGATGGGAATTCAAATTCGTACAACCCCTGCAGAAAAGGATTTAGCAATATTTAAGAAAACTACATACACTTTTAACTTTTGGTCCAATAATTCCATTTTAAAAATTTATCCCCAAATACACCTTCAACATACCAAAATACAAATGGACAAGGTTGCAGTACTTTTTGTAAATTCCAAATATTAGAAACAGCACAAGAGTACGAAAGAGTTATCTATAGTATGCTACCTTTTGTGTAAGAATGAAAGAAAAATAAGAAAATATACATCTATCTCCTCAATCCTGAGGGAAAAAAACACATGAAGGATAACTGGAAGAATCATGAAATTGGTAACCTACAGAGGACAGGTTAGAGCGAGGACAGAAGGAATGGGTGACAGTGCCCTGAGTATATACTTTTTTTGTAGAGTTCTGACTTTTGTAAATATGTTGATGTTTCACATACCGAAGAATAAATAAGATCAATTAGGATTGAGTAAAAAAGAATACAAATAGGAATAAATGAAGCAAACTGTATTTCAAATGAGTAACATAACCCCAGGGAGAAAGGAAAGAATGTTAGAGAAGGAAAATTAATCCAAGTAACTTTTGAACATGGTTTTAGATTAGCACAGTCTAACAGAAATATAATGAAGCCACATATCTAATTTAACATTTTCTAGTAGCCACATTAAAGTGAAATTAATTTTATTAACATATTTTATCTAATACATCTAAAAATATTTTGACACATAACAAAAATTATGATTAAAATATCAATGAGATAGTTCCTATTTATTTTGTAGTCACTTTTCAAATCCAATGTACATTTTACATCTGCAACACATCTCTATTCATGTGGCTGATAGCTACGCTATTATTACACAGTACAGATTTAGATTAAATGCCCTTGGCTAAAGTGAAAAAAAACTATAAACAAACATTGAATTCTACTTACTAGGTGTCTTTTAAATGGTGGTATGAGTTAACAATTCTTAAACTATTTTCTTATATTCTAGAATTGATCTGAGAAGCAAAAATATGAGTAATAGGGCCACGTTTCTCACTGTTAGAAAACAGAGCTACAAATATGGAATGAAGGAAAGGACAGAATAAACCCTGTAGTGTTGAGTCAGAGTCTAAGGTATCTGTATAAACTCACTGCTTTTAATAAAGATGTACTAGTATGTGCACACATATGCACAAACACACACACTTCCTCCTCTCACATATATCTATTTCCTAGATATCTGCTGAGAAGCCCTAGAAGCAATAACAGTTGCAACCAAGAAAGACATCTACAGTCCAGACTGTGGCTTCATTCTCTATGAAAAGGAACCAGGGCTCCAAGAGGAAATTCCTTATTCCAAGGCTGGGGCTGGGAAAGTGCAAGATGAGCCTAGAGTATGTGCTCAAAGAACGACAGGAGCATGTCAAAAGAATCGAAGGGGCTCCCACTGGCCAAGTCAGGCACAGTGTCAAAATAAACAAAGTGCTATTATAAATAAGCGTAGAGGGAATAACGGAGTTAGAATATGACCACTTAGGAAACATTATGAAAATTAGGCAGAAATCACCAATGGATATTGAAATTAGTGAGCAAAAGTTCAAGGTGTAACAAGATGTTTATAACAAATGGATACTAAAATTAGTGAGTGAAAGTTCAAGTAGTGACAGGATATTTACCAAGTCTCTGTATTTTTTCACAAGATACTTTAAAATTACAATGGGACTGTCAATGTGAATTACAAAGAAATACAATG